AAATGATGACCCAACTTCCTTAAACGAGGAAGATATTCTAGATAATGATAGAAACGTTGATAATTATGAAATTTCAATAAATTACGTTTCTACTGGAATACAATGGAATCGAAAAGATATTGATATTAATGAGATATTTGTCTATGTCGTTGCCACAAATGTTATGAATGAAAACAATGACAATGAGCCAACATCTATTGAAGAATGTCGGAAACGACACGATTGGCCAAAATGGAATGAAGCTATTCAGGCTGAATTAAAATCACTTGAAAAATGTGATGTTTTTGGACCGATAGTCCCTACGCCAAAAGGCGTAAAACCGGTGGGCTTTAAATGGGTATTTGTGCGTAAACGCAATGAGAAAAATGAAATTGTAAGATATAAAGCCCGACTTGTTGCCCAAGGGTTTTCTCAAATGCCGGGAATTGATTATGAAGAAACCTATTCTCCAGTAGTTGATGCAACTACATTAAGGTTTCTCATTGGCATGTCTGTTTTTAAAAGGCTGCAAATGCGCCTAATGGATGTAGTGACTGCATATTTATATGGTTCACTCTATACGGACATTTATATGAAAGTTCCCAGAGGGTTTAAAATGCCTGAAACTTACAACTCGAAACCACGAGAAATGTTTTCCATTAAACTACAAAAGTTATTATATGGACTAAAACAATCTGGACAAATGTGGTATAATCATCTTAGTGAATATCTTCTCAAAGAAGGATACAAGAATGATCCGATTAGTCCATGTGTTTTCATTCGGCGATCAAATTCGGGATTCGTCATAATTGCAGTATATGTTGATGACTTAAACATTATTGGAACTCCCGATGAAATTGAAAATACTGCAAAATATCTTATGAAAGAATTTGAAATGAAAGATCTCGGGAGAACCAAATTTTGTCTCGGACTTCAAATTGAGCATTTGAAGAATGGAATTTTCATCCATCAATCCAATTACACCGAGAAAGTTTTGAAGAGATTCTATATGGACAAAGCTCATCCGTTGACTTCACCAATGGTGATTAGATCTCTCAACATACACGATGATCCATTCCGTCCCCGAGAAGACAACGAAGAAATACTCGGTCCTGAAGTACCATATTTGAGTGCTATTGGAGCTTTAATGTATTTAGCTAATAATACTAGACCAGATATTGCATTTTCTGTGAATTTATTAGCTAGATACAGCTCATGCCCAACAAGGCGTCATTGGAACGGGATCAAGCACATATTCCGTTATCTCCGTGGTACAGTTGATCTCGGCCTATTCTACCACAAAGATGCAAAAGTCACTTTAATCGGATATGCAGACGCTGGATACTTATCAGATCCTCTAAAGGCGAAATCACAAACCGGGTACGTATTTACTTATGGTAACACCGCAATCTCATGGAGATCTATGAAGCAGACATTGACAACTACATCATCAAATCATTCTGAGTTAATTGCACTATATGAAACCGGAAGAGAATGTGTATGGTTGCGGTCTATGATTCAACACATCCAAAATGAATGCGGTATGAAGCCTATTACTATTCAACCTACTGTGATCTACGATGACAACACTGCGTGCATAGCTCAGATTAAAGAAGGCTACATCAAAGGTGACAGAACAAAACACATATCACCAAAATTCTTCTCTACTCATGATCTGGAGAAAGAACGGACGATCAACATTCAACAAATCAGATCTAGTGAAAATCCGGCCGATCTCTTCACCGAATCTTTACCCCCGAAGAAGTTCATAGGATTTGTACAGAAAATCAGCATGCGACGTCTTCATAATTTATGCTTAATTCAGGGGAAGTATTTGAATGCACTGCACTCTTTTTTCCTTCATCAGGTTTTTATCCCACTGGGTTTTTCCTGATAAGATTTTTAACGAGACGGTACATCCAAATACAATGACATTGTAAGTCACAAATCTTACCCCTTAACTTTAATTATTTTTATAAATAAATATAATCAATACCTATTCAAGGATGAACATTCAAGGGGGAGTGTTGTAAATTCCTGAGAATAACAAGTGTGAATTGTTCATCCTTGTCATCGGGACACTAATCCAATTCCAATCCTTGTAATAGACAGATGGCTAAGTTTAATGTTGCCAGCAGATTTTGTTTCTTTGATGATTCATCTCCTGGCCAACTAGTATAAATAGGGTGATCAATCATTTGTAAATGTAACTCAGAAACTCAGAAAATATTCAGATATTAAGAAGAAGTAATTTAGAGTTTTTTTATCTATATATATATATATATATCATAAATTTATCCTGCATCTTCTTCATTTCACAACACATACCAAGTACTTAAGTTTCAAAATACACACGTTTTCCCAAATATTTACTCCGTATAATTTTTCAAGGGGTTTTACCTAAATATTACCAAAATAACGACAAATTCCAAAAATGTGACCACATTGATTTAGGACAAAAATGTGACTAAGAAGGTCATATTTAGGAGACACTAATTTAAATACTCTAAACTTTGAAGGATGGTGAGGTAAACACCCCAAACTTACACATGTAATATATATACCACGCACTTTACATAAAAAGTTATGTTAGCACCATTGCTATATATTTTTTATTCAAAAATGTAAATGTATTGGTGTTAAGCCCATGATTTAAATACTTAAACATTTATAAAGGTGTAGTTAAAGCATCATAAATTTACATTGTGAAAGGAAAAAATGCAAGTCATGGTACTAATATTACTTTTTATATATAGTTCGGGGTATAAATATTGCATATGAAAGTTTGGGGTGCTAACATCACACCTTTTCAAAGTTTGGGGTATTTAAATTATTTTCCCCGTCATATTTATGTCATTGCCAGATTTTAATGTAAATGTCCAATTTTAATGTCATTGTCACCACCGTTGATGTCACTATCGTCACCGCTCGTGTCATTGTCGTCGTCGTCTGTGTCACTGTAGCTGCCGCCAGTGTCACTGCAGCAGCCGCCCGTGTCACTGCAGCCACCGACGCTAGCCATAGTGACACTGCCGTCGATACCGCTCAGTTACCGCCGCAACACCGCTTCATCCAGCCCCCGGCGACCATCAGCCCCACGCCCTAGCGTGCACCATCCCCACTGCCCCTCCCTGCTGCAGTCACAACCACAAATCTAGCCGACCACCACCAATAACCCAACGTACCCAAATCGCCACCGACCGACCACCAACCACCGCCCAACCCCGACCAACCCCTCCCCACTGTAGCTCCCGGACAAATACCTTCTCCAGCCCTCTCCCTTAAATCCATATAGGAAATTCATAAAATTGACATCACCGTAACCCCATGCCCTATAGCAACCTCCATCCTGCTCAAGTAGGAAACTGCGAGTAACTTGATCGTTGTGAAAAGGGGATCTAGATTTGGATAGACGACGAAGACTTTGGAGCTCCAAATCTGTTTATCTCGGATCAAGAATTAGAGCGGAGCGAGTTACCGTAGTAGAAGAAATGGGAAGATGAAGAGTTACAGAAGAAGCAGTAGCACAATCGTCGCCGGAAGTCGTGTCCTCATCGTCTTCACGGAAGCCCAGGCAACGTCGTTAAAGTCCTGCGGTCACCGCCGCCGATGTCTGTCCGCCATGTGGCAACGCACAAAGAAAGTGGTGGTGCGGTGTCGTGCGTGATGCGGCAGTGTGGTGAACATGCAGAAGAGGTGGGAACCGTGAGATGTGGATGGAGGTGAGACGCCTAGGAGAAGGAAGCGTTCCAGACTTTTCCAAAAAAAAATTAAATCATATATTTGGAAAAGTAAAAAAAGATCATATTTTGGTCATTGAAAAGCCGAGCGGTTATTTCATTTTCCAATAAGACCGAGCTCGAATGGGCGGAATCCAATTGCAAGGATTAATTTTAATTCATGTTAAACTATTATGTTAAACAAAGGTAAGATTGCGTACATTCGATAGACTCTTATCCCACCGAAGGTGTGGGAGCCTTTACAGTACTTGAGCAATGATGATGATGAATGTTAAACTACTCTGTTGAATGAACTCCTCGAATGCTACCCATGTATTGGAAAAATTGGAGCCTTCATCAACCAGTTTTCATACTTCTTAATGAAAATTGATTATGAAGTATCAGTAAATAACAAATTCACAAACATTACTCAAACCCATACAAATAAAATGCAAAAAAAAGAAAAATGAATCAATAGCAAGCAGAACCCTTGATCTCAAACCTTCACTAGGTATATACTCGAAACCAGCCCTCGGACACCAACATCTCTAACAATCACCTCTTTCAGGGCAGCCTAGTCACCCCTTGTACGACAGGCGACAACCTCGAAGCCATTGCCCACGGGATTACCGAGATGCTAGGGGAGTAGTTTCCGAGACGGGCCTATGCTATAGTGCCCACCCTTCTTCCTTTTTCTGGAACACGTCCAGCAACATCGATCAATCGCACCAACCTAACCCTCCCAATGATCTCCACCATAACAACCTCCACGCACGAATTACAACCCTTACCACCCAATTGATTGTCTTGAATAAAGAACCTGTTATCCTTTGCAGTGTTTCCAACTTGCACATCATCTGGTACACCTTTACCTCCCTCTTCAATAGTGCCTCCCAGAGTCTTGCCACTGCAACATCAATAAGCCAGCCTCCTGCCTCCCAACTCTAGCAAAGCGAACTGGAAAATCTATACCGACAGCCATCCTAACAAGCCAGCCCATCTATTGCATCCTGGACTCAACTGCCGGATCTCACCACCCCCTCTGTGGAGAAACTGTTCGAGCCAAAAAACTAGATGACTGGTCAGCCACCGGTTGACCAGTAGTCCGGTACAAAACGCAGAATTCTGTGTACAACCTATGTCAACACCCCTTTGAAACCACAGCCCAAGCACCGAGCAACGAACACAAAGTCATCAGCCAAATAGAGAACCGTAGACGATGCTAGGCCTGACCACATTTGCTAGATTTTCATGTTTCTTCATTTATATAATTTAATAATCAATTAATTGTGAGACTGTTTTAAGCAACCAATCATATATATTGCTTGAAACAGTTATGAATACTTTTAGCAATACCCCAAGTCGCGGAAATGGTAAACAGTACAAACTAAATATAACCTTCGATCAAACTAAATATGGAGGTTAATAACCCCTATCCCCTACATCTGTCACCCTTCCTCTTTCTTTTTCAAGTCACAGGAGGATCAGTTTTCCAACGGATAAAAAGTTAAACTGCGATTACCATGTTCAAGACCTAAGCTTCTGCACAAGGTAACATATCTAATGTATAAACCTCCTACATGACAACTCAACTTTTATTATAGACGATGCCTAATGCTCCAAATAATATAATTCTTACATAACTCAAATGACACAATATTTACAAGCCAAAACAGACTGGTGACTTTTCTGCAAACTGGAGGGCCAAAAGTCCAAAATTAGGGTAGTCCCTGTCCCTATCCACCACAGAGACGCAACAATGCCCATCAATCCATAGCTCGGAGCATTACCCATTAGATATCTACTCCTAATGCACCGGTCAATTTCTTCCTTGTAATCCGAAAAGATTTCGGAGATCGTCAACAGTCAGGCGAGTTCCGGTGCCTCCAGCTTGATCTTCACCAAAAGCATTCGCGACCATGGCTCTCTTGTCTTCCTGAAAGAAACAACAATTATTACTAACTATTAAGTTAAAGGTATACTAAAAATAAATATATAAAACCTTTATTGATATCTTTTGTGAAAAGGGGACAGAAAGTAGTTCTCCTAGTACTATGGAGATAGGATATTGAGCTTTTGAGGTAAATTGTCCACTGATAATTAGCTAATACTACCTCCATCCCGCTTAAAGGTTCCCATTGTAAAATGGCACGGTTATTTAGACAATAATTAAATAAGGTTACTCGAGTATATTTTGAGAAATAGTTTTGATGGGTATATGATATAATGGGGTCATTGATGATAACTGCGTTGTTATAGATGTATTATTTTTTATCTTTGATAATTAAATTGTACTCCCTCCGTCCCCCTATTATTGTCCCATTTCCTATTTACTTGGTCAACACAAATCATTCTTAATCTCTTACTTTATTTATCAAATTTTTATCAAATTTGATTCTGGTTTTTGCGATTTTATAAAACTTTTAATGTAGTTTCTGAATATGCAATTTTTTTTTCTAAAAATAATTCTAGTGCGGACAGGGATCTGTTTGCTTTATCGTCAGTCAAGCATCGTAAACCGCAATGGGACAATAACAGGGGACGGAGGTAGTAATTAATAGTATTAATTGATGAGTTAATCTTTTGGGAATAAGGTTTAGATGTGTTGCAAGAGTAATAATTGTTTCCTAAAATAGAAATGAGAACCTCTATATGGGACGTTTAGAAAAGGAAAGTGGAAATCTTAGAATGGGACAGGGAATAGTTTCAATTGGTAATCCATCCCACCGGCATCCCTCCGCCATAAACCCTCTATTGGTACCAGGGGCGTAGGCGCGTAGCTCACCTGGTAGGAAGAGAGTGTCACAAGGGAGAGGTCTCGGGTTCAACTCCATGCCAAGACTTGATATGGAACCTCACTCTCTTTTCATCCGTGTGTGATCAAAGCTCAATTTAACTCCTCCCAGATAGCTGTCCGTTCTGTTCAAGGGGGGCTCTCAGGGATGGGGAGCCATCCCATTTTTTCTATTGGTGATCAGCTCCAAGCCATTTCTTGTAACATCATCAATACATAGGAGAGTTTTGTCCCTTGGATCTGTTCTAAACTTGTTACATTAATCAACTAAGACCAGTCTTGTTCCCAGTAGACTAGCATAGCAGTCCAAAGACAGTTTATAGCCACCAACACTTTTCTTCCATTCAAGCATGAAACCTAAATCAAGTATTCCACGAGAGCAAGAGAGAAATGTCTATTTTTAGGAGCAGGTTTCTTGATGCTGAGGGCGCGCTTTGCTATGACAAATCTGTGATGCTTTGCAACGACATGGCCATGTGCCGCTTCCTTCCTAAGAAAATTCAGCCATGAACAAATCTAGTTCAATTTCAGCATGGCAGCCGATTCCGGTGTGATTTTCTGACTTCTAGTTCAATTGTGCTGAGGGCGCTTGTGTGGACATCAGTTCAACTCTCAACTTGTTCAAGTTTTCAAGAGAACATCAGTACAAGAAGAGCTCAGGAGTTCAATTGTAAGACTTTAAGTTCAGTTCACACTTCCATTTTTGAATTCAGTTCACATTTCAATTTTGAGTTTGAGTGTTTCCATGTTCAGTATCATGTTTGAAACATTTTATGCATATCTTAAAGAGTGTTGGAGGATATAATGTATTAGTATTAAAACATAGTAGTCTTAATTTTGGAGACATTAGAAATAATGTTATTAGTATAGTAGATATGGATTTACAAACATTGAAGCATAGACATACAGTAGTCCTAATTTTAGAAACATCTTAGTGAGTGTTTTTTACTCTTTGTTTTCTTCAAGTTTTGTATTTATGTTTTATAATTTTCTGTTTTCTAATTTGGAAAACATGCTTTAGCACATGTATTTCCAATTTCATACACCATTTGGAGTATGGGCAACCTCCAGAGGCAACAGTAGCAAATAGGAAAGGGCTACACCGTTATGGCGCTGTTAGTCGATGGTGACGGCCTAGACCCGCAAGAAGCAACCCGCAATGACAGTGATGGTTGGCAGCAGTGGTTGATAGCGGCAACAATAATCGGCAATGAAAGTGTGGGTCAATGGCGGTGGCCGGCAGCAATGTAGTAGTAGGTAGTAGCAATGGTAGGCAGTGGTCGACGGCAATGTAGTAGGTAGTAGAAATGGTAGGCGGTGGTCGGTGAGGCAAGCATCACTTATGGTGGCAATGGGAGCACACTCATTGTGGTAGGAGCGCAACCGGTAGGGTATGTGGGTTAGTCATAGGAAGACAAATTCTTAATCTGAAACCAAAATATAACCACTATCCAGAGGTTCAAGAAATACTTAATTTGGCAGAAATCTAGAAGCAAACATCTAAATAGAGTTCAAATATCAGATGCTATGGTTAGGTCAAAGGTAACCTGGAGAGTCAAAATCCTATCTTCAACGGTGTCTTGAATTGTTAATCTCGATACTGTTACAGGACGAGTCTGTCCTATTCTGTGGGCACGATCAATGGCTTGATCTTCTGTAGTTGGGTTCCACCAGAGATCCAAAAGAATGACATGAGAAGCGGCGACCATATTTAAACCAAGGTTTCCAGCTTTCAATGACATTAGCATGACAGTCACCTATAAAAGAAGAATGGTTGAGAAAAATCTAATAAATCAAGGCTGTGTCAACCAGAAATTCAGTGGAGCAAAATTGAAAAAAAGAACACTTGTATGAAACAAATCTGAGAAACGATAGAAAAAAATGATTGAACTGAAATTAAACACTAAAAACTCCAACCTTGGGATTGCTGTTAAATTCTTTAACTCCCCTGTCTCTAGCAGCAAGACTCATAGTGCCATCAAGCCTTTCATACCTTATTCTAGACTTCTTTAGTGAAGTTTCAACTAAGTCCAACATGCCTGTCCATTGGGAAAAAACAATAGCTTTTATTGGACCTCTAGTCTTTTCGGCCGTGTCTTTGTTTTCAAAAAATGATGTTTCCTCGTCGGATTGGACCAAGATATCCAAATCTTGGCTGGACTCTTCTGAGTTACAAAATGACTTCAGAATTTCAAGACAGGCTTTGATTTTAGAAGAACAAAAGTTCTTCCCCAGTGAAAATGATTTATCATCCAGTACTGACAAATTCATAGGATCTTTATCCATTTTATCTGAAGTGCATCTTTTAAGGACAGCCTCTGAAAATACAGCATCAGTGTTGAGTTGTTTTTTGCATCCAGGAGCAGGACATGTGTTGTCATCCCCAGTCAGATACTCTGATACACATTGATAGCAGAATACATGTTTGCACAATGTGACAACTGCATATTCGGGCGGATCCTGTTGAATAGCATATATATGTTACAACAAATTTAATTAAGAAATTTTAACAGACAGGTACAAATCCACATGAAACTATGTATCTTATTGTTTCAATTGTTACAACATCTGCAATTTTATTTCGCACATCCAAATTTCAAAACTCAATCAACTTATTCCTACGATAACAAAGAATCGGTTGGTATTTCATCAGTTAAGTTCATGGTTAAACTTCACTTTTTGAGAGAAAATTTGTCAAGTTTGCTATGTGCCAATGATGCATGCATAGGATACATACTTTGCTCCATGTGGTAATTAGTAATTACTACTACTCGAACGAAAAATGTAAAAGGCAGGGAATGATAGGCATTGCAATTACTGTAATAAAGTACTATGTAGGACATAGTGACACACTAGGAAGCGGAGTTGGAAACTAAATGGAAAGCCTGTTAATGTGTGTCAATCTAATCTAGAAGTGCCTGTTTTTAGAACTATAGCTGCTGCATAAAGTGAAGAGTTTTTTTAACACAATGAAGTTGTGTCACCACTAAAGTGTCCAATGTTGCCCTTGATTCTCAATTTGATTCTCAATTTGGTTCTCCTTGATCATGGGTACCAGGTTCAAACCTTCTAAACACGACTTTAGTAACTCATCCTTATTTTCTCTTCTCATATACTTTGTCTTTTTTCCATCATTTGCAATGGAGCCAAAGATTCACTATTTTTTGGCTTGAGAATAAGATGGAATAAAGCAAAATGGCTCACTAAACTGTCTGCGCTTCTTTAGTGTGAAGCAACAGCCAACAGTCAGTCCATGTATTTTTCGACGCGATTTTCACTATGGGTCATTCGGAAACAGTATCTCTGTGCTTTAGTACAGTGGTAAGACTGCGTACATCCGACTCCCCTATGGGGAGCCTTTGTGGCACTGGGGTAATGATGATGATGATATACTTCGTCTCTTCCATCTATTGTTTTTGGTAAGGGAGAAAAATAATCAACTACAAGTGCAGAGAATGCAACACCCCTTCTGAGACTGCCTCGGACGGGCTGACCTAATTTATCTAGTGGTTGACTACTAGGCAAGTACTCGTTACTTGAACACACACTTTCTTGTATAGCATACCTACCTACTCTGTTCCAAAAATCCTGAGTTAATAGTCTAGCACACAGAGATTTTCCATTTTTCCTGACTTGGTGACTCACTTTACACAGCCAAGTAACCCAGTCCTACTTATTTCCTAAAGATTGGGACTTTATAAAAAATAGAGGCTTATTTTAATAAAGAATGATGGATTTGTGTTTTATATACAGAAGTAATATGTTGTCACAATCCTCAGGGAATTGTTACAAGGATTAATTAGGAAATAAGTTTTTATAGGAAAAGTCCAGGATGTGATTAAAATTAGAAATGATCGGTGGCAGCAATTCATGCAGTGGCAAGGGGCAGGGTGGGCGCTGTTGGGGCTAGGGCGAGTCGCAGAGGGGCTATGGGGCTGCAAATTGTAGAGGGGCTAGAGGGCTGGGGCGAGGCAGGGCATTGATTGTTGGGGCAAGGACGTGTCACGGGGGAGCTGGGTGGCGGTTGGGCGGGTCAGGTTGTGGCGGGGGGGGGGGGGCCTGGGCAGCGCTGGGGCAGGGCAGGTTATAGCGGGGGCTGGGGATTTATGGAGGAGGCTGGGGAGCAGGGGAGGGGGCTGCGGCTGGGGAGCAGTGGGAGAGGGGCTGCAGCTGGGGAGCAGGGAAGAGGGTCTGCGGCTGGGGAGCAGGGGAGGGGGCTGGGGCTGGAGTGGTGGCGGTAGGCGGTGTCACCACTGGGGGTGACGGTTGCGGCATCGTCGGCAATGGGGTGGCAGTCACTGAGCAGAAATGGTTGAAATGGTTGTAACTGTAAGGCAGTGGTCACTGTGACCGGCTGTGGTCACTGCCCGGGGTGGCGACTGGTCGGCGGTGGTCATTGTGGCCGCCACCGGCAGTCAATGTGAGTATGTGACCAACAGTGGTCACTACTGCCGGCAGTGATGACTACTGCGGCGATGGTCAGATAAAGTCACTATGGGTAATTTAGTGAGTAACTGAGTACTGTTTAATATTTACATTTTTTAAAATTTAAAAAAAAAAGTTTGTCCACTGTCCACTTTTTAGTATTATTAATGAAAACCCCTTAAATTTATTTCTCTCCCCTATGCATAAATTTCGATCACACAAATTTATTTCTCTCTCCTTTGCATAAATCACAATCAGGCTTCATTTCCAAGAAGCCTGATTCGAACTTGAGACCGCCAAAAGAAACATGTGGATAGACTCCACTTTTGTGTCAAGCCCTCAGATCCGATACCTAACCTCTCAAAAGAGCTTCTGAGATACACTTGCCCATACATTACCAACTCAAATCATTTCATCACACCAAATAGTGCAATGATGGTAGTCAGGATGTTACCCAATTGTCTTTTTTTATCTGTGCCATTTTAAAGGCAGAAAACAACTCACTGGCTCAGCCATAGGAGTATATGACATTGAATTATTCACTCTAAGATTTCAACAGCTGTTGCAGCTCTATAGACTTTCAGGAAGGCATCTTAGATCCAGTACTAACTAAATCAAAGAGAGTCAAATGATTATGAAAACCTTACACGGCAACCTTGACAGATGGCTTTAGTCTCCAAAAGTTTCAACAAGTTCTTGAGAACTTCCTTGGGAATCTTTTTCACTTCCTCAGTTGACGTTCTTCTAATAGAGTCAGTACTTTGTCCTTTGACAAGTAGCGGGTGATCACAAGCCTGCCGTAGACGTAGAAGCATCAATAATATATTTGCATAATTTTGTCGCACAGTTCCAGCTGCCGCATATGCCTATGAAATTAGAGTATAAGAGAGTGAGCAGAACTTATCAAGCAAGCGAACAAAACAGAACACAAAAGCTGCTCAATAAAGAAGAGGGCTGAATTTTATCGAAAAGATGAAAAGGTTGCATCACCGAGTACAGAAAAATATATATTTAACTTGGAACAACCCTGCTAACCCATGCATTACCCCTAATTCAACTAAAAGCAAAACTTTGTCTGAACCTAATAAAGATAAAGTGAGGAATAATACGTAGTACTATGTTTATGATAATCACAATTGAGACAATACTTCAATAATCACAATACCACAATGAAATCAAATAGTTGCATAAGAAGAAACAATATAGTGATCATCACCGTTACTAATTGTATACTCCCTCCGTCTCGCTAAGATTATCTCATCTTACCTTTTCGGTGCATCCCACTAAGATTGTCTATTTGTCTCACACCAAATTTGTAAAGTTTGTGAGGTTCTAAATCACTTTTACAATATTCTTACTTTATCGAATTAATATCAACCACATAAACCCACTTTTCTTAATAACAGCACCACCTTCTCATGTCCCAATATTAATGGGATGGAGGTAGAATATTTTAGTAATGATAAGGTGAAAGTAAAATTTGAAGACCCATCCTATTGCAAAAATAAGCAAATAAGAGAACATATTAATATATGAACCACAATAATAATAATAATAATAATAATAATAATAATAATAATAACGTCCTTGTCGTTGTCGTCGTTGTTGTTGTCGTCGTCGTCCTCCTCCTCCTCATCATCATAATAGACAAAAGTCCAGACATGATTCTGAAAATCTTTCTTCACGGCAATGATGGTGAGAAATTGTTATCAGAATTTAGTGTGTATATCTCTGAGCAGTTTCAAGAATATAAGAATAACTTGAAAAACAGCTTTGAAAATCCAATTGATCAAAATATTACTTAAATCAATGAGGCACATACAGAAAAAACATGGTTGCCATATATTACTTAAATCAGTGCTTGTAAGGTATCAGCAATCACCATTTAAATAAACTTGTGATTGTCATTACATCAGGCCTACAAAAACTATGGTTCACACTGTCAGATAAGTTCCATGAGGTATCTTACAGAATTAAACAATTCAAAAATATATCTCAAAACTTAAAATCACATTAAAGGAATTGAAAATTTCGAATTGTGTACCCTCTCAAAAGAAGTAGATATCCCAAAAACAAAAGGTAGACCGTAGACATGTTGAAAAGTGAGTTAGAAGTTACTCTCAGTCTAATTTTAAAATTTGGACAGGAAAATATAAAGGAACCTTGAATTGTGAGCGTGAAGCAGCTTCAAGCTGATTATAAAAATCACGCTCCTCTGCAGAGAACGTCACCTTCTTCAGATGTATAGTTTTTGGTGGTAAGTCAATAATCGGTTGACCATCAATCAGTGTACCTAGATTACACAAAGTATAGATGATTAAAATATACTGTTATCGCATTATAATACTACTATGAACAATCTATAGAAAGTTGGAATATGCATCCCCTGACAGGCAATATGAAAAGAGCATGTTCAGCAATGACCAAATTTTAAAAAAAAAAGTAAAACACGGGTATCCTAACAAATCAACAGGTTGCGCCAAACGATTGGAATCCTCACATGAATGATATTCCAAGTGACAAACATAACATGCAGACTCTGATTGCAATGAGACACTTACTACTTGTTAAGATTTGGAGTTTCATCCTAAAAGGTCAACCTAATAAGAGAAGTAAAATAGCTCATGACCTTAATATAGTGTTAGAGTATTTTAATTTTAAAGCAATCCGGTGTGGGACAAATACTTTAACATGCCTCTCAACCCAAACCGGGCTGGACAATATCGGGGTGTATAAACGGGCCAAATAAAACTTTAAAAAGCTACCCTTAATCATGGGTGCTAAACAAGCAATCAAGCCACAACCGGGTCAGGCTCTGATACCATGTTAAAACCTGGATTTCCATCATGAAAGGTCAACCTGATAGAAGGAGTACCTCATAATCTTAATATAGTGTTCTATTGTTTTAAAGCAATCCGGCGTAACACTACTCAAGGAGGTACTTATAGAATAAATATTTCAAGGATTATAACTATTCCACCTCATACGTGTTGACCAACTTGAACCAAGATACATTCTGAACTTCTGGGCGTAAAAATGTGCACCAGTTCTCATAAATATACAGTTTTGTATCTAGAAAAGAAATGAGTTGGAAAAGCATTATCGTTTTGAAAAATTCTTTAGTTTTGTGATATTCTCCAGTAATATCCATATTGAAAACATGCATGAACCATTTACTATCACCACCACTTTGCTGCCTTCTGCATCCACCCACCAGTCCACCACAAACACCATCACGGACAGTAATCATCTACCACAATCACTGCCACTCCGGAAAATATCACTTATTACTCCAGTCCACATCTCCACCCATGGCCATCGTTCTCAAGACCATACTTCCACCCACCATCACATTATTGTCAGTTTGTTGTTGCCACCAGCCTCTAAATAGTACTTATTGACATTATCTGAACTACTTACTGCCTATTTCAGTCTCATGTTGATGTTTACCACAACTATCCACAACCACCATTATTGCAAAACTATGAAGCACAGACACGGATTCACGTAAGGGTGCTAATGCATGTACAGCTACATTAGTGGGAACAGAGCAGCACACACATAATACTGTAAATAATGTTTAAAGAGAGTTAGATCTGTTTTTTATTTGGGATAAGAGATTGGTAGTTGAGAAGTACGGAGCAGGTGACAGAGATCTAGGGTTTTTCTTTTAACACTAGGAAAATATTTTATGTGTTTCTGAGAAGACCTTATTCATAAATTTAAACTATATCGCCCCTGAAGTGTCCCCTCTATGCCCTCATTTTAATAAAAATAAAATAAAGAGAACAAAAATAGTGACACGCTTCAGGGGGAAATAATGACATGCATTTTTGGTCTTGTCTAAAATGGCATTTCCAGGCATTCATATGTCAGTATTAATGCAATAATTGGCAGTATTTTTCAAACATGAAAGTAATTACACCGATTTAGGGGAAAATACACAGTAATGCTATTTTGGAATATCACATTGTTTTTACTTCTATATAGGGCACTTTATGTAAATATAATATATAGGCACCAGTAAAATCACCTTTTGTTCTGCGCAACATAATGGCCCTCAAGATTACTTGAAGCTTCTTGTAACCATGTACCGAGTTTATAGCTATCCGGTACTTGACGCTAGAACAAAATGCTTTGTAGTCAGCATAGGGATCATATTTTAGAAATCTGAAGTAGCTGAACAGCTCATCAATGGAATTTTGAATGGGTGTTCCAGATAAGCACCACCTTGTTGTCGCTTTAAGACTACAACAGGCTCTAGCTACTTGCGTTCTATGGTTTTTTATAGTTTGAGCCTCATCCAAAATAACCCTAAACCAACTCACTCTAGCAAGGGCACCACAACTAGGATCAAAATGATCTGTATCTATTCCTTCCGCACTTCGTTTCCCTTTCTTTTTCGTATATGCGCTGTTCTGTTTCTTGATATTAGAAAATCCAGAAGAAAGACCATATGTTTCACCATACTTATGTTCATCGCCGTCCTCTTCCACTACCGGTTGTTTTGGAACTTCATTCGTAACAATAGCATATGTCGTTAGAACAACATCATATTTTGCCAATTCAACAGGGTTCCTAGTCCTATTGCCTCCATGATAGATCAGTATACGGAGACTGGCTTCCTTGGTGACTTTCTCATCAAGCTCTCGAGCCCACTGTCGAAGAACACTAGCTGGACATACAACCAAAGTTCCTGCAGCAGGCCTCTTTCTATGAAATCTGTTCATAGTACTTGAATCTGTAATCACCTGAAAGTCATCAGGTTCAGAACTCTGCTTTTGCTCCTGGGTAGTGGTGTTTTCTTCATTTTCCTCCAAGTCCAGGGCTTGAGTTTTCATAACACCCACATCTTTATTTTTATCTTTACTACGATCCTGCAAATACCTATGATGCAGTATAATTGCAATCATCGACACAGTCTTACCAAGGCCCTGTTAGATCATGTGTGATCTGTGTAAGATGGACTGCATAAGGTTAAGGAAAATAAGGTTCATCAGTTCATGAGAAACAAGTATTTACCTGGTCGTCAGCAAGAATTCCACCCCGACAATGTGTACTATTAGTCTCCTTTTGGCGCATCCAAGCTAATGCTATCCTCTGAAGGTTGAAATTAAGGGGTTTAAGAACAGCAATACAAAAAAAAAATCACTTCAACTAAAAGAAGCGGACCTGGTGCCTTAGTAGAGAAACTGATAGAAGACCTTCAGGTAATGTGGCTTCCATCGTGGGCTGGTTTAAGTCCTGCAAGGCAATGAAACACACACACACACACACACAAAATTAATTACGTGCATGTTAAGACTCGATGGTCCTATGGGCCATTAAATAACACATAGAAACACATAAAATGTGAGCTTCTAATGGGCCATTCAATTATATGTTATACCTTTACAGTTTATAGAAGTACACAAGCATTTCAAAATCGAGATGAATTACAGTGAATTAATGAAAAATTGACTATGCAGCATATTGATGTCTGGAAGCCTGTGAAATAGGTCACAATCATAACAAAAAGTGAAACCTTTTACCAAGAGAAATGAGGTAATTTGTTTTAAATAAGTGCACAGTGATATATATCCCCTACCATTTGGTTCACATAGAACACGTAGAGATATAATTTTGAAGATAGAATGTATATGAGAGCACTTGCAACAAACTTAGCTGCCTATGCAAAACCAGTCTGCAACTCCCTGCAACTATTCTAATGGAGAAACAGGCACCAAATATTACCTGTAAAGCAGCTTGATAAATTATTCTTTCATCATTTCCTGCCGCTCTGTCATCACCAACCCCAGGAGGATGAAGAGGATTGCTAGTTCCTGTATATGAAGCACCCACACCAGATCTCCCATGCATCAAAGATGAAGGTAGTATTCTGTTGCCATGGTTATCAATGCCAAAAAACTCATTGCTGGTGCCCCTGCTGGAATGGCCATTTGTATAGATAGTCAATGCATCTGTTGAACTTGTCCTCTCAGATTGATAAGATGGTTTTTGGGGTTGGCGAATATGAGTATCACCAACATCTTCGACTACAGTGATTGCTCTGGAAAAAGAGCCAGAAGGGCGTAATGGTGTGGGAAGTACCCTCTTCAACGACTGTTGTGGAGAATGCTTGACATGATCTGTGTCAAACATGTTAAACTTAAGTCACCAATTTTGTCTAGAATTTCAATGACATTGTACACCCATATTACCATTATACTTGAGGCTATCATCAGCAAAAGCCCGTGAACTAGACGCCCCAGATCTATCAAAACTATAGGGAGGCATTGAAGAGCTGCCACTTTCTCGGTTAAAATTAGAGGAGCTTCCATTAGCAAAAGATCTCCTTTTGGGAGAAGGATCTATGTCAGAGAAGCTGCTACGTTCTGAAATTCAGTAAATAAAATTATAACAAACCCTGCAAAATAGGTTAGAGCAAAACAAATAAATAAACACAAAAACAACAAATCGAATTTAAACTGTCTTTTACTTGTGGCCCAGTTCGGAAGAACCCTGGCAGCTGATGACGCGGAATCCCTTGTAGGTGATTCATCTCTATATTCATCGATTGCTCTTAACTCTGAATCTTCACTTGAATCGTCAGACGAGATAACTACAGCAGCCATTCCAGAAATTCTGGAGCCAACCTATAATTGATTACAAACATGTCAACGCCAAGTAAGAGAACAAACAATGGTCTAACAATCTAACACTTAACCTCTACAAACGTTAGTGAATCGCCCGTTGCCGTTATCTGCTGTGTCGCACCGCTACTCTGAGTTGAAGAAGATGAACATTCAAGATGAACATTTTTTTAAACTATTATTACTGTGAAGGCAGCGGAAACTGCAGCATTTAGGGCTAATTGCATGCATATCTGGTTTGGATCTCGTTTGTTTTTAGAAATAATAATAATTTCGTTTTAATTTCCTTTGAATTATGGGAGTTTAGAACTGCATTCAAAAAATAAGGAAAACTGTCAAATAGATACAGGTACTTTTGTGAAAAAATCAATTGAGTTCTACTACTTTTAAATGAAGCAATTAGGTCCACGAAGTGTTAAAAATTGATCAATTTACCTATTCTTCCAGTGATGATCCGGTTTTAGCGGTTGACGGGTGACATGGACGTCTAGCTGGGTTTTATTTTGTTTTACTGTTGCATTATTTTTTATTCTTTTTCCTTTCTTGTAGTTTTTCTTTTTCCTTTCTAGTTTCTCCTTTCTACACTATCATATGATACCAATATATAATATATAAATTGGAAGAAAAAACTGAAGTTTTAACTATTGCAGTATCCTTGAGCCCGAAAAACATTAAACACAAATTTTTAATTCCTGAAGCCTCCACAAATAAATGAATATTCCATTATCAAACTTTACTTGAACTAAGTTTATTTTTTGTTAACTGAAAAACGTAAAAAAATGAAATTTATTTATTTTTAGATCGAAATGTGTATTTATTATTTAACAATTACTCAAAGTAAAAATTAATAGGAAAACATTACTTATAATAATTTAATTAATGTTTTACTAAATTGATATGTAAAAAAATGTTGCGTGTATTTTATTGGCAATGTTGAAATGTATAGAAATGAGAGTCTAGATGTTGTTTCCATATAAACGGGATCCATTTTTGCCTCCCCACCACCACAAATGGTCTAAAAGGGATTCAAAAGTGGGAAAGGGGTGGAGGATTTCAAATTTAGGGGGTGGTATTGTATTCGGAATTAGTGTCAAAAATTTAAAAGTCCATGTATTTTAAAAGTTTAGGTGTATTCAATGTGGACTTTTAAAAGTCTACAAAAGTTAGGTGTATTCAATGTAAAACTTTTAAAAGTCTATAAAAGTCTAGGCATATTCAAAGTTTCGTTCATTCTTATGGATTTCGTGGACTTTTAACTCATTTTTAGTACATTAATTCTCTTCAATTGTCTCTTCTCCTCACTAAATATTCCCATGGACTTTTCTTATGTTTGTTCTTCATCCCGTCCCACCCCATCCCTCCCCCCAACTCTCCTCTTCTTTAGCCAAGTCACCCCTTCCCCTTCAATCTTTCTTCTTCTTCTTCAGCCCAGCTCGCCTCACCCCTCTCCTTCCGTTCTTTTTCTTCTTCAGCTTGCCCCACCCCAGCCCCCTCGATTCGGTAATCCCATATTGGTTCGATTCTAGAAGTTTCTAGAAGAACTGGTTTAAGAATCGATAGTGTTACATCAGTGCAATTCTGGTACGTCGTCACTTAACAATTAAGAAAATAAATATTTTAATTATTACTTTCTTTCATCGTTAAATCGCTAACACATAAAAATATAATTTCAAATTAATAAATATATAACCGTAAATAAGTACACAAAATTTTAAAGTGAAATAAATGTGAAATTTTAATTGTTGGATAAATATATGAAGTGAAATTTTAAAGTGAAGTAAATAAGACAGTTATTAGAGAATGGGTGGCATATATAAAGTGAAATAAATATGAAATTTTAATTGTTGGAGTTCATGCAGCCTCCAAAAATAACATCATCCCATCTTATTTTTTATGAAAGATGAAAAACGTTAAAAAAATAACGAGAATGCTCGAATGAAATTTGAATTTAATGAGAATGTTCATTGATGGAGTATATGGATCCAGATCCTATGACCCACATACTCAGAAGAATAACAAGCACAGTTGTCACCCAATGGGTCCTCCGTCGGCCAGATGGCCCTCCATCGGCCGAAGAGACATCGACTCAGAATACGATCCAGAAGACAGGAGAACCGGGGTGTCCCGTCGGCCATGTCTCCGTCGATCAGACCTCCGTCGGCCACAGAGAGCTCACAGAGCCGGATTTCATACTTAGCCAATTTACGTACTTTGTATTCGGCGCAATAGAGGTCTCATTGTAATCGTCAATCGGCCCTCCTAAGCCCAAGACTTGGGAGCCCAGTCCATATTTTTCTATAAATACCCCCCCTTGGAGGTAGTTGTAGGGGGTTCATAAATACATTTATTACAGCATTCATTGCACTTCTCTCTCTAGCTCCCATTTTTCTCTAAGAGTTAATACTCTATCACTCATAAAATGTTCACACATGATTTAATTGAATGCTTAGAAGAAAATCTGATAATAATCGAACTTACTTAAACTAAATTCATTTTTTTATTTGAAAAAAGTTAAAACAAAATAATGAAATTTATATTTTTTTAATCAAAAGTGTAATATTTTATTTCACAATTATTATGGGGAAAAAATTAAAAGAAACACATTACTTATAATAATTTAATTAATGTCCTACCAAGTTGATATATAAAAAATATGTTGAGTGTATTTTATTGGCAGTACTGGAATGCAGGAAAAACAATATTGACAGAGCCTAATAATCAGTTGTTTCATTTGCAGTAGTAATTGACGGCTATAAATGAATTGTTGTTTAAATAAACATTGTTTTCATATGTGCGAAATCTTTTTTTCAACATTTTAGACTCTCTACCACTACTAATGGTCTTAAGATGTTTTTACTTGGACTGTAATTCGTCCCAGACCAGACCATACCAGTTCAGACCAGACCAGACTTGGATAGTTATAAAAATACAAAGAAACCAAACCAGACCAGACCAGACCAAACCAGTTCAGACCAGACCAGATCAGATCAGATCAGACCAGACCAGACCAGATAAGCAAATTACAGTCCAAGTAAAAACATCCTTATCCATCATTATTTGATGTAGTAATATGATGGAAAGAGAATAGAGTGAAAATTCAAAAACAACTATTTTGAGCTAAAAGAAGTAAAGATTTGTTATTATCATAATTAATATGTATAAGGACATTACTTGTGAAATGAATTATTTTCAAAAAAACTTTGTATGTTATCCGTGAACGCATGGTTCGTTGACTAATGCTAATATAAAAATTGTGTTAGCGTTTTTCAAAATACAGAATGATAGTGTACAAAATTGTATAGACATAATATAAATTTAATATTTGAAAAATTCATCACTTGCAACTCACAGGTAGGTTACCGTATACTTTGACTATATTTTATTAATTTATATATTAAAAATTATTGTTGGGTAAATGGCCCAACCAGGGTCGGCCCATCAGGCCCACCGGACGTACGGCCCCACATGCCCAACTGTCTGGGGAATAATATCCTCGAAATAGCCCAAGGCCGTGATGACGGTCGGTCCCCGAACAAGAGTCGCAGCGGGAGGTGGCGACGTACGGCTTCGGAACCTGGGGCACCTGGGACAAGCAACCAGCGCATCAGGGACCATCTGCCAGGGGACGTACGTACCCGGTCTAGGAGGGAAGCTGGATGCAGAAATAGGGGACGCTCGTCTCCACTAAACGACGGGAAACCAAGATCCTGGCAGGAAGCACATTTATTGCAGGAGATTTGGTGGTTGGGGCCTTAGCCACCCACAGCCGCCACATCAGCATGCTCAACTACCATTGGATAGTATATATAGAAGCATTTATTTCATTGTAAAGGTTTGGCAACTTAACACTCTAGCATTATAGCATTGTAACAGCTCATAGCATTACACTAGACGAATGGCCTCACACCTAAGATTGTTGTATTTGGACTTCCTTGACTCAATAGATTTTAGCTCACTCCTCACGGGCCTTCTTAGCCCATTTGTGCTTGTTGTTGTCTCACCTTCACACCTCTTTCACTCGAAATCCTTAAGTTGTGTGTTGGGCCTACGGATTGAATAAATAAACCTCAACAATTATATTTCGTACAACAACAATAAAATATATAAAGAACTTTTTGGTCAGGCGTGCCAGACCTGATGTCCCATATAGACAAGCCCATTTGAGGGGCTTTCTGGTTGAAATTTTTAATGAAATTTTGTGAGAATGTTCTTCATTAAGTGTAGATTATATACACAAAATTCCATTATATAGAAGACACACACCTATTGCAGCGCTTTTCTTTATGAGACGACACACACCTCGTTAATAAAAATTAAATTAAATTTAAAAGACAACTATTGTGACACACATATGTATAAAGTGCGACACATTTTTCGAAAAAATTAAAACCACTTCCCAACATATAATTAGAAAACAAAAACGTTGCACGGTTCATTCAAATATTTATTTTCGATAAAGATTAAAGATCAAAGGCGCTTTTATAAATAAGTGTCACACGCTTACTTTTAAAATGCATCTATTTATAAGCGGCACACACTTCCCTTTTAACGGAATTTATTTATAAGAGCCACTGATGTTGCCTCACAATTTGAAGAAATTATACTAGTGAATGAGTTACAAGAATGAGGATATTTGTACTTAAACTGGTTTTGATCCTCAACCATGTTGGGTGTGTTTCGAAAAACAAAGAAAATTAATTAATAAAGATTAATTAAATAAAATGACTTAAAGAAAAAACAAGAAATGAGATGAAGCAGAATAAGCCAAAGCTCGTGCTACGCACGATTTCCTTAAAACGTATTCGTTGCCTCCCGGGGTGCTAGGAGCATTGCAACGATCGTTTACCAGGATACGATGACTTCGAACAATAGTTTAGCACTCAAACTAAGGTTCCAACGAACGTGAACAAAAGCAGAAAACCGAAAGAGTTTGTATGAAGTGCTAGAGGTGCTGTTTTAGCTATGAAAATACGTGAACGAAGTGTATGAAAAGTTGTTTGTTTTGCAAAGCACCTACTAGCCTTTTATAGGGGTGGATTAAGGTGTTTTAATGGCTGTTTAAGGGTTATGATCGTTGGACATCAATGTCCTAAACGTTGGGCATTGATTCCAGTCCTTAAACAACCCAAAACGTTCATATGAACGTTGGGACATCAATGGCAGCATATAGACGTTGGGCATTTATGTGCATGGAGCAAAAATTAAAGTAGGAACGTACTGGAAGAACAAAAATTAACGTTATCTTTAGAAGATAGATTTTCGTACGACATTCGTGT